AAACTGAAAAAAACTGCAAAAACAGGAAAAAAAGGATGTAAACATATTTACATTCACAAGTACATAAATACGCACGTACTTGCGTACGTACCATAATAAACAGATACGTACGTACGTACGTACAAATGTTTTGTTTGATATAAATCAAATCACGTTCATTCCAACAAGAATCCAAATAAGATAATAGTAACTAAGGGTCCCAGCAACTTTAATATCTATTCATAACTTCAAAAAGAAAAACGATTCTCACTATTCTCACTATTATTCGCTTTGAGTGGAGAGATTAAATAGTTAAAAAAGGTAATTGATATTCTTAATTATATATTGTAACGATATGTAATGATAGTGTAAAATTTAATAGAAAAAAAGGGAAACAAAATAAGCTTGATTGATGCAATGTGTCAAACAATAGAAAGGTTTAAAAGAAGTAGATATTGTCGTATAAAACTTATCTTTATAAACTTTAAATTGCTTAATGAAACAGAAAAGAGTTCTACCACTAGAAATATTTTCTCCGTATCAGTAGTACTACCATCGCGCATGCATTAAAGGAGACTAGGATAAAAGATTGGTCCATTCCCTTGGGCTCCGAGTATATTGGTTTTTATTCATTATGTTTCTAAATTAGGTATAAATTTGGTATGTATGTATTTGAAGTATTTGAAATACGAAGATCCGATTATATTCAAGCATGAAAATCTTTGCTATTTCAAAACAACAAGAACAACAAGAGTAATTGATTATTTGTTTCGTTTATGTTGATTGTTCATTCGATTTCTTTCGATTTTCTTTGTGAATTATATACATATTATATACATTTTTCTTTAGTTATTTATATATTATACATTCGTTTTACATTCTACATTCGTTATACATTCATTCTACATTCATTCTACACATTTCTACACATTCATTCTACATTCATTCGTTTATAGTTTTGCATTCTTAGTTTTACATTCATTCGTTTATAGTTTTACCTTCATTCCTTTATGGTTTTACATTCGTTATCGTTATAGTTTATATGTCATTATACACTTCATTTGTACATCAAAGGGTTAATTCAGGATTTAACATGATTTAACTCGTCTTAATTAGGTATTAATTGTCATAATGCTCAAGTTAGAGAACCGTTTTTACGATTATCTACCATTACTATGTATCAAGATATTGGTTCCTTCACATAACATGTTATAACATGTTTTAACATGTTATAATGTTATAAGATTGTAATTTGTAAGAATTTGTTTTTTTTTTTCCTATATGACCGGATTTCTATGCGACCGGATTTGAATGACAATAAATACGAATTTTTTTGACTAGCGTTGGAGGGCGTTTTTCGGTTCAGGAGATGTCCATGATTGGTGTGAAAGGTACAAAAATAAATAAATATTGACTCTAAAAACACGAAAATGATCGAATATTTGCGCATAAATGATCCAACTAAGTACGTTTCACAAAAACGACCACAACAATGTTTTTAGGTTCATATATCCTTTTTTTTTAAAACATACAACGTACGAAATTATTCTTTAAAAAAAAAAAAAAAATTCTAATTTCTTTGCATTTTGTTTTGACATCTTGTATGAGATCAAAAAACCTTACATTAACTATAAAAAATTTTTTTTTTTAGAAAAAAAAAAATTTCAGAGTTTTTCAAAGTAATCTCAACGATCCTTTTTCTAAAGAACGATACGTGCATACATGCATGCAAGTATGTACGTATATATATGCATATATACGTATATACATGCATACGCATGTATATACATATATATATATATTGATATATATGCATAATATATGCATACATAGTTTTGCCTTGAAAAATGACCCTACGGGACAGAGCGATTGCAATGTAGGTACCCATAGGGTCATTCTCAAGGAAAGATCCATATATGTATCTGTATATATGTATTTATTTATTATTTATACATACAACACACAGATCCCTTGTGAGCAAGGCGATGTCTGATAAATAAACGGAAAGCTATTCTTGAATACGACGACTATCAATTGATTGTGCATCTAATCATCTTTTACCAATTGAATTAATTGAATTAATTGAATGAATCATGGTAATCGTTATTTTAACATAAAAAGTTGTGACAATGTTTTTCTCTTTTACAGTTAAACCTGGGAAAAGGTTTAACCAACTGAATGAATTTTGAATGATGATTTTTCGAATAGCATTTGTTTGAATAGTAAAGTTATGCTTCTGAATGCGCGGTAAGGTAAAGCAACAAGTATAAATAAATAAATAAAATAAATAAATATACATTAGATATATCAGATACATCAGATACATCAGATATAGATATCGGATACACTTAAGATATATATCTTATATCTGATATGTCTGATATATCTGATACGTGCATATACGTATACGTATCGATATATATCAGATATATATTTAGAATCTCAACTAATGAATATCTATGTTTTTTTTATAAATAGTTATTATAAGTATATTTTACCGTAAGATATTTATAGAAAAAAAGATACGTACTAATTTTGTATTACATTTTACATAGTGGACAATTTGCTTTTCTTTTTTTTTTCTTTACTATTTCTTTACTGATGCGTTTCATTTGGACCTGCATTGCTTTTACATCATAAAGCTTTTTTTTTTTAGTTAATCTGGTTATAAATCATACCTATGTTATAAAATTCCTGATTTATAAAGATACCAAAAGTTACTGTACGTATTGTACATACCGATACGTCCGTACTTTAGTAATATTTGAAAAACATTATTTTGCCAAAAAAGTGTCTCCATACTATGTTTGAGGGAAACATGCGTATCAAAAAATTGTTGATCATTGGACGTTCATTGATTTTTTGAATGTGGGTTGATATTTCTTCCGTTATCATTGATGTCATTGATGTACTTTTAGTATTTTCTTTTATATTGTATTAGGATTATCTTTGAAGTTTTTATGAATTTTTAAAAAGAAATCTTTTATTTTTTATTGGTATCATGCTTTTCCGTTTTTATTGGTATCATAGCTTTTCCTTTTTTTTTGATTTAAATGACGGCTAAACTTGATTTCTTGGCATACATAGTAATTATTCCGAAATACTTTTTACTACATATTATCATTTTAAGGAGGAGTTTCAATTCTTAATGTTTCGATTTTTTTTAAAGATTTCTTTGCGAATTAAAAAAAATATTAATGAAGAAAAATGTGTAAAAATAATCAAGAAACTAACGAATAAAAGCAATTGAATAAAAGTAATTAATACTGTGAAAATAATAATAATAATAATAATAAATTGATCAAGAAAAAAAAAAAACGATCAAGAAAAGTAATCAAACGAGTAATCGAATAAGTTATCGATGGGATAATCGAAGAGAATATTTGAAAGAACATAAACTTATTTTTATCAAATACAATCGGCAGGTTAATCCTCTGGAATAATTAACCTTGTTTATGTCATCCGAACCTTGTGATTTATTATGCATTTCTTTGGTGTTAATATCTATGCACTAAGTTAAACATATTAAATTATGAAAAAATAGGTTGGTTTAATCATTAAAAAATTTATGCGATGTAAATTTTTTTTTCAAAACTTATTCGGACTAACTCCGTAGATAATAATTTATATAATGATAATTGGATAGAAATTATTATTAATTGCAATTTATGATATATCGATATATATATATATATATATTCATATATATATAATAAATACGTATATATATAAGTTACATATATTTTTTATTATAGTCCGTTATAGTTCGGATAATAAAAGAATTTATAGTTCGGATAATAAAAATTATATATTGTGAAACCTTAAAAAAAAACAAGTTCTGAGCCATGTACTTTATCCTGTTAGCCATCTCCGAATTCATTGTTTTTACCACTACGGTCCAATTAACAAAAAAAATGAAACGTAACATAGATTATTAAATACGTATGCATAAATCAAATGATATAATATTACAGTAAATAGAAATAAAATATATATATGCAACACTGCTGGCATGTAAATGTCGGCCGGTTTACATTTTCATGTACCGGCCTCTTTTTTTTTTTTATTTAAACAAAGAATCTTTTTTTAAATTTTTTTTTTTTAAGTTAGTATCATAAAAAAAAACTTTCTTAATTACATTCAACTGTAGAAAATAAAAAAACGCACACGTCAATTTAATTTCCAAAATCCCCTCTACTTTTTTTTCCTTATTTCGTATCTGCCCCCTTTGATAGTTAACCACTCCTTGTTCTGAAAAAGCCCCGTGAAGAAAGCACACATACATCTCTTTTTTTAATCAACAAATAAAAGAAACTATCAACTCACGGAAATTTGCGAGATATTTTATTTATTATAAATTATTTATTATATTTACATATTTTTTTTATTATATTTGTATATGTACAGATTTCCTCATGGAATTCATAGATAACGAGTTTTCAAACCTCATCATAATTTCTTTCAAAGCGAATAAATTTTGACAACTGATACAATATTTTAGATTCAACGGGTTTTTTCTATTGTTTGTGTCACTATCCGCTTTATTTATCTGCTTTATTTCATCATCAATTTATACGTATCATTTTTTTTTTTTTTTTTTTTTATTTATATATTTTATTTTTACACTATATAGATATACATTAGATCGGTGACTTTTTAACAAACAAAAAGTCACACTACCTTAAATTATTTAAATACTCCCTTTTTTGTTCCCACTGGTTGGGACTATTTTTTGTTTTTTTTTCTCCAAAAGGAGTTTGATCATTCTAACTTTATCTTTCTGAAAAATTCCAATCCTTACTCGTCACGTTTGGTACTCTATAATAAACCTTTATATATTATTATTATTATTTTTTTTTTTTTAAAAAAAAAAAAAAAGACGGAGGCGGAAGCAACGGAAGCAAATAACAAAAAAAAGCAAAAAGTCAAGCATAAAGTGAAGCAAAAGGTCAAGCAAAAGTCAAGCATAAGGTGAAAGCAAAAAGTGAAATTACAAACAAGATTTGAAAAAACGATAAACGATGAATCGGTCTTCAAAGTTTGGAACACCATGGTCTACTGTCAAATCTGTGGCTCGTCCCCGTAGACTTTTTCAAAATTCTGGTGCTAGTCGTCGTGGAAGTGTAGTCAGCATTTTTTCTCATCTTATTTCAAAAACAAATAATGTGACAAATAGATCTAGTAGAATAGAATTCCCTTTTACTTTGACTGATCAAGAAAACCTTCGATTAGCCGTACAAGAACTAGAAAAACAACCTACTCAAATTCCACATATTGATCAAGTACCTGATGTTACCCCTTCAGATAATCACTCTCAACATGGAAATAATTCTTCTATTAGAAAAAAAGGAAACAAAAAATTTTTACCAAGTTTTAGTAATATAACAAATAGTGTTAATAATAAAACTTCCTCAAATACTCAAAAGAAACAAAAAACCTCTACTTCTTCTGTAAGCTTAATTTTTATGTTTAAAAAAAATCAATCCTTTTATTTTCTTATATTTTCTTATATTTTCTTATATTTTCTTAATATTTTCTTATTTATTAATTTCATCGTATCTCTTCTTTTTTTAAAAAGTTATTTCTAATAACGATTGAAGATCGAAGTCAACTACTAAGTATATGTAGGCAGATTTCTGACTTTGTTGAGTTTGATCAGCAGGTATTATAATTTATAACTTTATAATCATAACATTTTTATATTTATTATAATCTTTATTACATTTATCATATTTATAATATGATATTTATTATATTATATTATTATATTTATGATATGATATTGATTTATATTATTATATTTATTATATTATTATATTTATGATATTATATTTATTATATTACTTTATCTTAATGGATAGCTCCGTCAAGAATTTCCAAAATCTCGCCCCACCTTACCTTCTTTAGATGATCGAAGAAAATCTTTTTTATTACCTCGACATTTATTTTTCCGTAAATCTACTGCTGAAAAACTTGAAAGTTATTTACGAAAAGTTTTAAGTGATATAAATTTAAAATCTTCAGCTGTTTTACGTGATTTTTTAAGTGTCAAATCTGAAAAAGATTCTGTTAGATGGAAAAATTCTTCATCTACAAATATTATTATAGATAATAGATCGGATATTGTTTCAAATGTAATATTACAACAATCACATAAAGCTTCCATAGATGACTACGATTTAATAAAAGTTCTTGGTAGAGGTTGTATGGGGAAGGTAAATTATTTATATTTTATATGTTAAATATCTAATTTTTGGCTATATTCTTCTAGAATTTTACTTTATTTATTCTAGATTTATTCTAGAATTTTTATTCCAGAATTTTGTTTTATTATTTATCACTATTTTGTTATTACTTTTTTATTTTCTATATTTGTTTTCAAAATAATATATATTCCTTATTTTATTTATTTCTTTTATTTATTTCTTTTATTTATTTATTTCTTTTATTTCTTTTATTAGGTAATCTTGTCAAGAGAAAAATCTACTAATAGATTATATGCCCTAAAAGTTATTTCCAAAGAGTGGGCAGTTTATCGGCAAGAGATTGAACACACAAAAACCGAACGTGATATTCTTGCAATTGCTTCCGGAACTTCCCATCCTTTCCTGATTAGATTACGTGAATCTTTTCATGATAGTAATCAATTATTCCTTGTTTTGGATTATTATCCTGGTGGTGATATTGCCACACAATTGGCTAAATGGCATAGATTTGACGATGCAAGATGTCTTTTTTATGCCGCTGAAATTGTCCTTGGTATAGAAGAATTACATCGTTTGGGTATTGTATATCGGTTGGTTTCACCTTTTTTCTCTTTCTCTCTCTCATTTTGTTCTGTCGATTTTCCGTGCTCATGTGACTTTGCCTTTATTATAGCGATTTGAAACCTGAAAATATTCTTATCGGTCGCGATGGACATATTGTTCTTACTGATTTTGGTCTATCCAAACAATTCAATCAATCGTGGCAAAAAACCAACACGTTCTGTGGTACTGCTGAATACTTGGTAATTTATTATTATTATTATTGTTATCTTAATTATCTTCATATGTAGAATTTAAATAATTAATTGTTTATATATATATATATATATATATATGTATGTTTTAGGCTCCAGAGATAATACGAGCAGAATATTATACTTTTGCGGTGGATTGGTGGAGTTTAGGAACCTTGATTTATGAAATGATGTTCGGAATAGTAAGTATTAACAACATGAACATGTTCATGTTTGGGATTATTTTACTTACAATTGATTTATTTATGATTATTACTTATGATTATTACTTGTGATTATTACTTGTGATTATTACTTGTAATTATTACTTGTGATTATTTGTGTTTTTAAAAGACCCCATTTTGGGCAGATGACCAGAATAGAATGTATCAACGTGTATTAGAAGATGAATTGGAATTTCCAGATGATATAATGTATGATGCAATAAGTTTATTACGAGGTGTAAGTTATCATGTTGTTCAAAGTTAATGACTCTATATATAAAACTTTCAATTCTTTTACTAACTTTGTATACTTTATATTTATAATATTACTTTATAATGATATTTTTAATATCAATCCTTTATTTTTTATATTTTATATTTTATAATTAGTTATTACAACGTGATCCTAGTAAACGACTAGGTTGTGGACCAACAGGTTCATTGGAGATAAAAACCCACCCATATTTTGATTATGTTGATTGGGATGATGTTTTAAACAAAAGAATATGTGCCCCTTACATTCCAACTATTGAGCATGAGATGGACCTTCGAAACTTTGATGATGTATTTATTACAATGTCTCCAAAATTATCCTTACCAAAACGTGAAATTCCAGCAGACATGCAACAATGTTTTACTGGATATTCCTTTTCCGAAAATCGTTCCGACTCAAAATCTATTAATACATTACGTGCTAGTAGAAGTGTTAATCGTTCTATTGCCGATATTGCTTCTTTACACAGAACTAATTCATCCACCACTCTAGGATACGAACGTTATGATAATGACAACGATTGGAATGATAGTAACTGTGATTTAGATCAATATGTTTCTAAATGTCCGACTATTATGATTGGAGACACGAAATATCGTAACCATCTTTATCTCAACAAAAGAATTTCACAATTCTTATTAGATGACTCTCATTTGAATACGGGCGACAATTCTTCTTCATCCTCATCGACAATTAGACTTGAACGTCAGACTGACGTATACTCTAACTCATGATTTTCATTATTCCTAATACACTAATATTAGGAATTACACAATAAGATTAGGAATGTCACTCTTTATATGAACTTTCATTCTTTTATATGAACTCTTTTTTTCTTTTTTTTTACAGAACAATTGAGAACAATTGACAAGAATTGACAAGAATTGAGATTAAGCATCAGGACATGCTTTTTCTCTTACATAATAACAATGTATTTTATTTAGGGCTTATTTTGTTATGTGGCTCTGGGATATTTTATTTCATTTCATTTCAGTTTTTGTTTGTTTTTTTTTAATTTACAATCTTTTGTAAAATTTTCTGGCGCCTGTATCGTATTGTACATGATGTATTTTAATGCGAACAACTTGTAAATATAATGGATCGTTTTCAATTTTGTCAGAATAACTTTCAATTTTACACCGATCTATTAGATTATACATTCTAAAATATTTATAATACTACATAATTTTATTCATAGACGGCCCTAAAAAAAATCTAGTTTAATTAGGAATTAATGTTTTAAGAAATATTAATAAACATTTTCGCAAATCAAAAAAATATGCGAACTTTTTTTTCCAAACATTTCAAACATAAAGAATCATAAAAAAAAAACTAAGATAATCATATCGATGTAATCAAAAAAAGTGATTTTTTATTTTTAGTTTGAGAATTTAATTATTTTTAGCTTATTTTACCCAAGGGAAGGCTGAAATGCATAAAAAGAATATTATATTATACTTAATTGTATTTTAAATTTAAAACTGATTATGTAATCATAATGAAAACTACGTATTAGATTTAACGTTAGGCGTTAAGTACATACCGATACTGATACCTGATACTTACGTTAAGTACCATGAACTTCCGACTTTAAGATTCCGATGTTTTAAATGGTTCATTCATAAGTAAAATGATTAGATACTAAAAATGATTAGATACACAACATAAAACGCAACCCAAGTTGTGAAACCAAAGAAAGGATTTACTACTCCGATATATGAGAATATCGTTATCCATTTAAAAATCGAATATCCAAAAGTGGCAATATAAAAATTTTTTTTTTTTCTGCAGATTTTTTTTTTTTTAACCACATTTGTAAAACTGAAAAAAGTTTTCAACGTCTAACTTAACCTGTTTAAATAAGTTACCAAAAAAAAGAATTTTCTCTTTGTTCGTTATCGATATTGATATTAATAGAACGGAGTAAATGATAAGTCTTTTTACCATTTCATATTTATTATACGTGGTATCTTATATGTATGCTTTTTTTTTAAAAAAAAAAATAATATCGTTTTTATTCGTTGTACTCTTTCAATAAATAAAATTTTTTATTAATACTAATTCAATATAATGATTACAAAAAAAATAAGCACATTATATTATTAATTAAGGGGCCTCAGACACTATGTATACGGATGTATTACATATTTATATGATTGGTACTGTACATTAAAGATTAAGTCGATCAAAATTTTGTTATCAAATATCTTCAAGTACAGTATGTAACAATACATACATAATTTTACGTTTAATGTTTTATGGGAGGAGAGGGGGGAGGGATTTCTATTTTAACTTAGGTTTAAAGTTCATATACGTATAAACTATTACTAATTCAATTTTTAATTCAGATTTAAAACTATTTTGTATCGTTATCGTTATACATAGTTAATTTCGATTATCTGTTATCTGTTATGTATGTGATTTTTTTTTTTTTGTTACATACACAAATCATCCAAAATTACTATTCCTCAATGAATATTTAAAAAAAAAAAAATTCGTACCCTTGTTCTATATGTATAAATTTTATAAAGTTACAGATTTTCTCGGCAAAAATTTTAAAGTAACGATTTTAAAAATTTTTAATATAGCTTTACATGGTGAAAATGATCATATAAGGATAGATTACACAAATTGTCTATCATTACGTATTCGATGTTACATATTCTAGAACAAATGAAATTTAGTTTTCTAGAATTTTTCCGTTTACACACAGTAGATATTCATTTAATTAGTGATAATCAGTAAATTTGAAATCTATTGTATTTTTGAAAGATGTCGCTTTTGAGTCACCTTTATGAAGATATAGAATTATGAATTGTTAGAGTTTTGGTGCTAGTTTAATTAATTAAGTCACACAGTTGTCATGCTTGAGGTTAACTTTGAATCTCAAATGTAATAACGAATTTGAACCAAGAATTGGCAGTTTTGCTTTGTAAGAACATTATGATAACTTCTTTGAAACATAATTAGTTCTGAAGCAGAAAAAAAAAGCCTTAGCAGACGCACTTTACGTAAACATCACGCAGACATTGGTGGGAAGGAACTCGGATCTGATGAAGGAAAAACATTAGCTGATGCACTTTATACATACAGAAAGAACATCGTACTTACTTTTTTTTGACATTAGCACCAAGTAGAAAATATTGTGCTTCTTTAGATATTAGTTGGAGTAAATATAGACCGAATGAAGGAAGGACATTAGCAGATTCACTTTGTCAAAACTCCACGCTTATTTTTTTAAATATTGGAATAAACTTGGATCAGACGGAGAAAAGCATCAGCTGATACATATACACATTGATTTCTTTAGAAATTAGTGTTAACATACTCAATCAAGTAGAAAAAATCAGTAGTTAATGCGCTTTGTAAGAACATTACACTTCTTTGGATCAAAAGCATATTGCACACATACTACACTGATTTCTTTAGATATTGGTGACAATATACACTGATCAAATGGTGGAAAAGAATTAACTAATACACTTTGTAATAACATTACACTGACTTTGTACAATAACATTAGCTGATACACTTTGTAAGAACACTACGATGACTTTGGTTCTTAGCTTAGATCAGGAGGAAAAACATTATTGGATGCACTTTGCTGCGAAAATACTACATTAATTCCTTTGAATCTTTGACATGAACTTGGGTCAGACGATAGAAAAACATTAGTTAATGAAACATCTACTTTGTCCCGGTTTTGTAAGATATGATATCGGATGCCAATCCGATGTACGTATGCGACTGATTATTTTTGAATATTTTATTTGTGAACTTTACTTTTTTGATGCATTTAGGGTTAGTGGTGTATAAAAACATCAAAAACACGATTTATGCAATATTTAGATTAAGTCAGGTACCCACATGATTTTTAAGAATAAGGTAAAGATTAGTTTAGTGTTAGAGGTTAAAGTAGGTATATAGGTAAAATCGTCTCCCCAACATTTTTTATTAATGCTCCAAGAAAGGTTTAGACTTTCATTTTTCATATTTTTCAATTTTTTTTTACTTCGTTGGGCTGATCTGTGTATATAAAATTTCATGTTTTTGATTGGTTGATCTACATATAAAAAGTCACATGGGTACCCGACTTTCCAATATGTAATTGGACACGGCCGATCATCACGTATCACGTCCACGGATTTCTGATGTGATTTTGTACATAGTTTTGTTGTCGCGATCTTTCTGTATAAAACCACCACCAACAACTTAACACCAACTTAATACCAACTTACTACCAACTATGAAGAAAAACAAGAACGAGAAAAACGAGAACGAGAAAAACGAGAACAAGAAAAGCAAAAAGGGTAGGATATTTTGCTACTTATGCCTTCTCTTCATTTGGAGAGCCTCCCTTCATTCCTTGCGGGGTGATTGTATGTTGCTGCTAGAAAACTTCTTTTCCTTTTGGAGTTTCTTATGCTTCTTGAATGTCGTCCTCTGGAATGACCTCTTCCTTTTGGATATTTTTCTCCTTCTGGAATCCTTCAGGAGTTTTCTGCTTTCCATTTGAAGCAAACACGTCAAGAGCCAGCTTTAGAAGAGAAGTTGTATCGCGTGTTTTTTTTTTTTTATTTAATTTATTTAATAGAAAGCTAAATTATTTTTTTTTTTTTATACAGAAAATACATCCCTGCGTTGTTGTCGTAACCCTTATCTTACCGTTTACATTTCTGGTAACATTGAGGGCGTAAACCGCAAGATCTTGAAACATTGCTTCGATCAACGACGCGTCTTCCTTTTATCCATATTAGAAAACACCTGAATGAAAAGTAAGCCAATATTTGGTATTGCATAAACATGAATTATTTTTAGAAGTGCTTTTTTACCTTGGCGACATTTAATAATAAACCAAATTTTTTTTAGCTCCGGCCATGTTCATTTCGCATCTCGTAAAGAAGCAGGAATTTTTTTTTTACGAAATGTTCGGTAAAACGTTTGATGGACCGCCTAATGATAAAGACATCAAATACAATATCAAATTCACAAGGTCTACCTATTACAAGTCCTTTAAAAAAGGTTATATTGAAGTAGTATATTTTTTATTTACCGTTATTTACATAAGAACAAATACACTAATGTTATTATAAATAAATAGTATATTGATCCAGAAGATTCCTATCAAAGATTACTGTCATTACGTATTTCCAAATTGGAAAACCGTGTTCAAATGTTGGAAGAAATGTTTGAACGAGAAAAAAAGAGAACTAAAATTTAATTTATTTTCTTTTTTGTTCTTGATCTTTTTTTTGATCATATATTTCGAGGGATTTTTTTTGATCATTTTGATTTTTATTTATTTATTTTTTTTTTTGACGAAAAGAGCCGCTTATGGTGTTGGCACGAAATTTGTAGATATAGTTAAATTAATTTTATAGTAAATTTTATGAGCTTGAATTTCTTATTCCTTATTTGATTAATAAATGCTTTTTTGTTCGTATATTAAATTAACGCGAATAAGATGAAATTAAATGGTCAATGAACTTAAATTAATTTGAGGAATAGGATCTTTTAAATCTCCTGCCTGTTTCTACTTTTTTTAAGTTGCGATTTATTAGAGCTATTATTCATTGATTGCAAGTGCGTTGCATCGCTACCTGATTGACTTGAATCAGGTGTAACGTGAAAATCCTATCGCTATGAAACCTCCCTTTTTTGTTCTAACAAAAAAAATTACTTTCGAAATTTTGGTTAAGAAATCTTCCAGCTATTGCCCTACCCAAACCATAACCTCGCCTTTAATTCGGTGGTTGTTTGTTTTGATCCAATTATAGGGAGCGATGTGATAATGATAATATGATAGGGTGTTGCTAATTAGTAAAATCCGACCATGGTAAAAACGCTACCCAGAAAGTTTCGAAAATAATAGTATGAATTAAATATTAACATAACAGATAATTGATTTAGTAAATTTTTTTTCTTCGATTTTTCAAAGTAAAAAGTGATCGTCAAAAGCATAAAATTCAATAATTTAATAAAAACATTTCTAAAAATATACGTTGTGAAAACCGAAATAAATTATAAAAACTAATTAAGAAAATGCAATTGTATCAGAAACCCTTTTTTTAATGCTCTTTTGTAAGATTAGAACTTTGATTATTTATTTGAATAAAAGGTTTTTATAATTCTGAATCCAGGACGCAGCAACAAAAATTATTGAAGAAAACGTTAACAAATGACTTGATAGTATTAATAAAAGTTTTGTGCTATTGTATAAATTGAAGGTTATAATTATTTTAAAAGGTTAATGGAACATTTCAAATACTTAGAACAACTATAATTATAATACTTTTTGACTGTAATAAATATGATGTTTATTATATATAAATAAATATACAGTTATAACCTGTGGGTTGATAGCACAGTTGTTAGTGCTTCCAGGTTGCAATTACAAAGTCATGAGTACAACTTTGTCAAAATCATAATTGAAAAAAAGATCTGTAAAGAACTTCCATTTAAAAACAAAAACAAAATTTATACAAAAAGAATGCAATCATTAACATATTTATAGAGTCAGGAACAACCAGATAATGTGTAATCTGTTAACAAATAACATTAACATTAAGGAAGCCTGATTTAAAAATATGTAATGATAAAATTAAGAATTTTGAACTATACAAATAATCTAGCTAATAAGTTATATAAAGTTAGAAAGTTTCAGGCTAAAGAGAATAATAAGTCTTATATTATAGAATTAGAAACCTAAAATGTCATATAACAGACTTGTTAAAACATAAATTATTTCACAAGTTCAGTAATATGTAAAGTTATCATCATCTGATAATTTTTACAAGATAATAACTCTAATTTTTAAAAAATATAATAAATTCTAAAGATGTCTAAGAATCTTTAAGATAGTAAAAAGATATAAAAAAAAACTATATAGTTGTAACTTTATAAATATATGTTTTATAAATATGCATTCTTTTTAATTGAACTCTAATATTTGGTCCCAAGTCAACTATATTGTAAATACATATCTTTTATATTCTGCATATGTAATGTTTTTTAAAATATTTATTTTTTATAAGTATATCATCATATAATTTTTTATCTAATAAAAAATAATTTTATTAACACACTTATATAGTGATCTAATTTTAGTAAAACATTTATTTTTTATTTTTACTAAAATTTATTTTTAGTGAAAAATTAGTCAAAAAAAGATTATTTATTATATTACAAAGTTGAAAGCATTGTATAATCTATATTTGGCTTTGGTTATGCAAAGCAGAACAAAACAGAACAGACTTAACCAGACTTCACAAAACTTTTAAGAAGATTTTAAAAGTATATTTTTAAATAAAATGTATATTTTTTTGTTATTATATCAAAAAAATTAAAAGTTTCTTGTAAGTACATTATAACTAATTTTATTATTTTTTATTTTGTAATTTTTTTTTTAGTCAGATTTTTTATTTTGTAATTTTTTTTTTAGTCAGATTTTTTATTACTCTAATAAATTGATAATTTGAAAGATTTTTTTTGCTTTATAAAAAGCAAAACATTTTTTATATATTTTTTATTAGACAAAATTATTTTATTAATTACTGTTTAAATTTTTTTATTAGTTATTTTATTATTTATTATTTTTTTATATATACAAAAAACATTATATTTATCAGAAATGTGTTTATTTTTTAATATCTAAATAAATTTATAATCTGATTTATTTCTATTTAAATTGTTAATTAAATTCAATATTGAAACATTTAGTATAGATATTACTAATAATTTAAATAGATAAACAACATTGGTACAAAACAGTTGTAAACATTAGTTTAAATATTGTAAAAAATTTTTGGACAAATAAATAAATTAAAATAACTTAAAATTTATTAAGTTAATTTACTTTAATTTTTTAAATAAAAATATTTAGTGAAAGATGATAATTGTAGTATAGTAGTTGGGTTGTCATTCTTAAAGTGGCAGGTTTAAGATTCAAATCTTACTTATGATAAAATTTGGAAATTAATCTGTATTACAGCAAACTGTTTTTTGACAATTGGTTAGATTGGTGTATCTGTAACCTTAAGCTAACCATCTTGAATAGGAGCTTGGAGCATTTATATGAAGTGTAATATTATATGTAAAGGAATATTAATAACTAATGTTATATAAGACTTTAGTACAAACCTATAATAAGATCACTAGATGCAGTAAACTAAGAAATCAAAGAATTAGAAGCCTATTTGGAATTACTGAGTAAAGAAATAGTATGAACTTTTGATAATATAGTTAAACTAATAGAAGTCTATAAAACATCCTCAAAGTAATAGACAAATAAACTAGATAACAAAATGTGTAGAGAAACATATGATCAATCAGATTATCAGAATTACTAAAGGAAAAGAACATATATATATACCATACCAGGCTATCTGAATTGGAAGTTAGAAGAGTTTTGTTAGTTCTAAGTAGCAGTTAGTAAGAGATAAGAGAGAAAACATTATAATAATAAGTACTGAAGTTCTAATAAACTTTACAAAAGTAGAAATAGTGTACATAGCAGTTAAACAGTTAACTTCTGTAACTGAAATATTAGGTAACTATAGTGTATTGTATAAACTAGATCAGCTATGTATAAGATATGAAAAGTTCTAGTAAGTTTTCTGTCAAGAATAAATTAGTTCTAAGAGTCTTGAAAGCTTCAAATATTTTGAAGGAATGTAGTCTAAAAGATGTTTTTATAATTACAAATCAGACTACAAATGAAGAAGGTTTAAATAGGCAAGATGCATAGTTAGCTTGCAGATATAGCATCTAGTATAAAATCTGTATAGTAATATATAGACAAACTATTTAAATTAGGTATCAAAAGTGCATATATGGCTAGTTGTAATTTCTTATTTATAGAAGTTCCTGAAGGCATCCATGTTCAAATACTTGAATAAAAACATTGATCTTCAAAGACAGAAATTTTAATTTAAAAAAAAATAAATAAATAAAAATAAAAATATTTAGTATTATAAAAATATATAATTATATATAAGGGTATAATAACCTAGTAAAGTAGACAGGTTGTTAACCCTTAAGTAGCAGATCTAAAGTTCAATTTTTATGAACAATAAATTTTAGAAATTATATTTGTATTACAATAATTGTTTTTTGTTGATTAGTTAAATTTAGGCATCTATAATCTTAAATATATCAAGTTGAGTTTTATCTAATATTTAGAAGCTCAGAGTATTTATTTTATTTTTTTTTTGATATTAAGGTGACCTCTTTGGTCTTTTGACTTTTATTAATCACTTATCGGTATTGTGGTTCAATGAACCACTACAGGAGAGCGTACAATTGGTTACATGTGTAACTTTTCTATATTACTTATTTAAGGAGTTTGTCCAAAGGTTCTTCATCAATTGCCATACCTAACACCTTTGCTTGGATGTTTCACTTTAAACCCTCTGAACCTGTAATCTGTGTTAATATCACTGAGTCATATTCAGATACCCAGATTATCGTCTTAACCTTAGGACTAATTTATTCTTGAAGTAAACCTTCTAGAATCTTTTGTACTCATTTTTACAGTTATCTTAGGTATTGCTATGGCAGAATCAACACTTACAGTCAGGGTTAACCATTAAACTATTATGTCTTTATAGAGTTTATTTAGATTTTAACATTTACTTCACAGTATAATCCTGGTACTTTAGTATACCCTTGCCTTTTTTTCTGTCTTTTTACCAAACTTTCAATTCAGATAGCTTATGTAGGACTACAATCAGTTCATCGGTATATCAGGTCAACCCGATATTCTTTTTTTCTAGTTCATTCTGGTGGCCTGATTGGTGGTACCTCTGAGACTCCAAATCTGAAGATTCTTGTCTGTCTAGCTACTAGGATCAGGTACTAGACCTAGGTATCTGTTTCGCCAGGCTAGCCTTTACAGTAAGGCTATTGAAAATTTAACTACCTTTCTATTTAGGTCTTCTCAAATGAACTTCTTGTTACCTAATTTTAATGGATTTATACAGCTATGAGGACTTATCTAGTGTTTGTAATACTTGATATGTCAGTTTGCATTCCTCTGTGTAACTCCAACATTGCACAGATGCTGCATAATCTGCCAGTCATGCTGGTGTGATTGCCATTACAGGTATCCTAACCCAACTATTAGTAACAGTTACTATAATACAAATATTACATAGGTGATTATTCAAATTTTTACTGTTGATGGGATTTGAACATCCAACCTATCACTTGGAAGGTTGAATA